CATAGGTTTGGCCTGGGCCTTGTGGCAGGTTTATTTTAAAGGGCTTTTTTTTTTTTTTTAATTTATTTTAACATTTGCATGGGGGAAGTTTTTCAGAACACGTACTACAATAAACCTTGAATTCCAGCTGTTCTAGTGTTCTGGATGACTTTTTGTTTCTTTTGGATGAAGAAGATTTGTTTTACAGTAACTGTCCGTATTTTTCTCTCTTTTATTGGTACATATTTTGCACATACTTACACACCAAATTTTATGTGGTTTTTTGTTCTTTACACAGTCATGTATTTTATTTTATTTTTAAATCACGTAAACACGAGGGTTCTATGGGATTTAATTATTCATGTATTGCATGTGTCCATTTAGATATATCCAGCATCTTATAGTCAAGTAATATGAAACTATATATGAAATTAATTTACTATAATTTCTTGATCTCACTGTCATTTACCTAATGGAGGAAAAACAACTGTTCTGCAAAATTTCTCTTACACACAAATGAGCCTTCTTCTGGAAAAATGTATTTAAGATCTAATGAGTGATGGGAAGACACACAAGCCAAAGCAGGACAGAGGAAAAAAAGAAAAAAAAAATAAAATATATATATATATAAAAAATTATCTTTAAAATCTGAGATACTGATGAAGACCTGCTGGATAACATTCAAATTGCTTATTCATCCTGGTAACTACTTTTTCCTTTTTGTTTATCCATTTCACTTAATGATTTTCTGTGTATTGTTACAGACATCTCAACAGTGAGCATGCGCTGGATGATAGAAGTACAGCCCAATGTAGAGTACAAATGCAGGTTGTACAGCAGTTAGAGCTACAGGTAAAATAAAATTTATTTTAATATTGCCTCAATATTAATCAAATCCAATTCTCGACAGCACTAAAAAATGAGTTCTGCTTTTCCCCCTATGATTGAAAACCAGCTTTCAAAACCTTCTTGTAGTAGTTTTAAAAACCGTCAAAAGAAACTGCAGCTTCATTTCCTCTTTTCTAAACCGTAACTTGAAAAGAAATAGGAAACTTAAACAGGTTGACTGATTGGAAATCCATCAGTATGTATCTAATGCTTTTTATTCTCACCCGGGGGGGGCGGAGGGGGGCGAGCGGTCTATGGTCCCCTTCGTTTAGAGTTGTTGGTACACGGGGGAAATGGTTGATATTTATTTCAAAACGCTGCATGACCTGGCTTGTTTGGTGGTCTCGCATATACTAATACTCTCCATGTATTATTATTATTATTACTACTACTACTACTACTATTATTTTTTGCCATTTGTAGCAAATAATTTTTTTAAAAGTGCCAGAAGGGGGTAAATTGGAATATATTGAATGCGATGCAAAGGTATGCCCTGTTTGTGTAACTGCCTTTCCAAATGCTTTTGAGTCCTTTCTGTCTCCCTGCACCTCGCCGCTCTGGCTGGGCGGCTTTGACAGTGTGTCTGTGTGTAGGCAAGAGGTTAGCAAAGAAGGGGAAATTAAAACAATGTTGTACATTATATAGTTACCAGCTATTGAAAAACCTATTTTGTATGCAAGACAGCAGTGTAGAGATATATGGAAAGCCTTGGGCTAAGTACAGAAGATAATTACATTTGGAATTTTACTGAGTTAAGTCATTTATAGCTTCAAATAGTTGGAGAGAAAAATCAGCAAAAACACACTTAAACTTCTTGTTGTTACTTTTCAAGATAAGCATTTAAAAAAATGCCTTTTATCTTCTTATCTTACAAATTACCCTTTTTCTTTCATAGATATTTCCTAAATTTTACTTTCAGGAACATGCTGGTCATGACACTGCTTCACTATTAGGAAGCAATATAAACTATTTTAATACAAGTTTTATAAAAATCAAACCACCAGTCATAAAATATCAGAGTCCTGTAGAAAACGTTACGAGAAATGGTCTGTTATTTTAACAAGTTTCTCGGGAATTAGGAGAAAAAGAAAAAAAAAAATAAAAAAATCTGCAGTCTTCCTGGTAAACTGAGATATGAGATAATCTGTTACCAAGATGCAGTAATACTCAGGCTGAAGGTAAATCTAGATTCTTCAGTTACAGCCAGCTTGAAAAGCACTAATCCTTCCCTGCTGGGGATGGTTGTGCCTGGAAGTACAGGAGGATGCCCTGTGTTAGCAGTTGGACAGGACAGAGATGGTGCTTGGTTACCACCTCCCCATAAGCCCTTGACAGTATTTTTGAAAGATTTATCAGCGGTGCGTTCTACTGACCGTTACAAGCGACTGATAGAGCTTCAGAGCCGCTGAGTGCCGGGGAGTCACCTCTCTTGGCTTGGAGTCATTGCACGGGAAGGCAACATAAGGTCCCCAAGGCAAAAACGTAATTTCAAAGTGGTGTGAGGGCCAAAAAGTTCTGGATTTGTTTTTTAACAATCTTAACTAGCGCAGGAGGTAGGGTGATCTGGAGGCTTAATTTAGAGAGGGATGTCGATAACAGAGTAAGACCATCTATGCTTTGGCCAGCAAGGATAGGCAGAGGAGGAGGACGGTCCTGCTTCTGAGATATAACTAACTCCCCTCTCCTCGCTCGCCTTTCATCCTGTGTGTCAATCCTCTGAGACTTAAAAAAACCCAAACAAATCTGTCTAAATATGTACAAGGATGTGTCCTCCAGTACCTAGTTTGTCTGGCTGTGACCTTTTTTTGCTTAGAACCGTAGTAAAACAGACGTCTGGCCCAATAGCAGGGTTTTCAGCACTGTGGTCTGCAGCGCCCAGCATGTCATAGCAGGAGCAGCTGGACTAAGACCATTGACCAGACACTCCCAGAACCAGAGCAGTTACCAGCAGAGTGGCAACACCAAGCCCTGTGGCCAACTGTTTGAGTTTTGTGAGCTGGATGGAAGAGGGACCCATAGCCTTTCCCACTTGGCCTGCGGTGCTCAGCACTGCCGAGCAGCTTTGCCTTCCAGTGGAGCTGTGAAGTATCACATGCTTGCTCAAGGTCCAACACCATGGCCAGGTCGGAATGCCCCACCCTTTCACGCACCTCCAGCCCCATCAAGACAAGGGCAGAATTTAACAAATTCATCCCACCTGAGGGACTCACTCCAGGTTTTGAGTGTGATGGACCCAAATGCAAGCCTTTCTTTTTTTTTTTTTCCTTCGTGCTCTTATTTATTTTACACACAGTAGTTTTTATTAGTGTCGTAGACAGAGAGAAGTGTAATGTCTTTTAAAGAAAGTAATTTTTAAATGAGCTTTTTGAAAAAAACAGGTCAGATCTGTTTTGTGTTTGATTGCAAATGCCCCTTCGCAGAAGTATCTCGAAGCTTTGGTCTCAGCATTTCCGTCACAAACATACCTAAATATCACAGGCAAGGTAGAGATCTTCTCATATTTCACTTTGTTTAAACCATCTTGACATGATCATTTGTTGCCATTATAAATAGTGAGAATTGGGCTGCTGGGTGAAACACAAACACAGGAACATCTCCCTATTCCTTAACTAGGTCTCAGCTGGAATAGGACATCCATTTTGCAGCACCACCTTTGAGTGGAGGAACATTTCAGGACAGCAACAAGGCTATGATAAGTTTAAAAAAGTATCTACTAATGGGAGACAGTAAAGACAGCTGGCCATTTTCAGTGTAGTGGCAACGCCCTTGGGCCTGTTTTCCTAAAGCATCCACTGACACTCTTGAAAAGTGGCTCCTAAACCTTTCCAGAGCACAGCCTAACTAGGCACAGAACAGGAGGGAAGAGGCTACGTCTGGATTGTCTCTTGCATTGCCCATGACTGGCTTCCTTCTCCTTTGTCCTTGGTCTGTCCAAAATCCTGCTCCTGAAGTGATCTCCCCTTCCTGTTGATGTGGCCATGTTGCTCCTGTTGAATGCCCCCACTGGGTTTCCATTTTCACATTCCT